TTGTAACTGATCTTCATGAATACACACAGAATTTAGCAAAAAAGGGGGAGAGAGAATATTACATAAGCAGTCATAAGTACGTACATATCGAATGAAGAGAATTTTCCTAAGCAGTCATAAGTAAGTACATATCAAAAAGAGAGAATTTTCCAAAGCATGTTTGCATTATACTGAAATTATAGTAGTTCAAAAGAAACAACAAAGATATTTTCAGCTTTTATCCTCTTCAGCTTCCATATCCAGAATTTGCTTCCTAAGTTTCGCCATTCCCTCGTACACATCTAGCAGATCTGTTGACTTGTCCATCAGCACACTTCTCAGTGTGTTTATCTCAGTTTTGAGTTTACCTAAAGCTGTTAATGTGCAAGCATTGACTTGCTTTTCAGCTTCCTTACGTAACGCAAGCTCCACAGAATCCTTGTTTCAGGTTTTGAGCCAGTCGAGTCTCTTCAAAATTCTCTCCTTAGAAGCAAGGGAAGAATGCCCAGGCAAAAATTCTCGCAGGAGTTGTGCCCCAGCATATCCATGTCCAAAGAGTGCGAGGGTGACAACAATTGCTCGCACAGAAAATTTTCTCCTCACTGGGATTTCCACCATGCTCTTCACCAAGTCCTTGGTTTGGCTTGGAGTAAGAGCAGCCCTTTTAGCAACTATATTTTGCCACATAACCAGAATGGTTCTGCAAAAGAAAACAATACATTTTACTTCAAAACATAACAAGTAAACTTTTGGCAAGTAAAAATGATATGCAGTATTTTTTTCCCGGTAAGTAACATGATTTCTATTAATTGAATCTCTATATTCTATTTAAATGTAGTAGTGTTGAGAAGTCTCCAATCTTTCATTCCAAATTTTTGAATTTTTGAGTTTTTTAGCCATGAAAATGCTTACTTGGCTTCTTATGATTGGTCCTTCCACCCTTTTTTACGTCATTTAATCGTTTTTTCTCAAAATAAGGACAAGTCTATATTTAAACTAACTGATAACTCCCACTTCTCATGTAACCTCCAGGTTTCCGACTGTTCAACTTTCCACTCATTCACGTCTCTCTCTCCATATTCACATATCTCCAACCTTTCTGACTATTCATGCATGGTATATTATATAGCAGGGAAGAGAGACAAACCAGAATGGAACCCTACTGTGTGTGACGTGCGTTGCTACGACATTTTAGCAATGTTGCTCCCATCTGTTCGTTGAGGGTAAGTTCCGATACATTCATGCACATGGTGAATTTGAGGGTAATGGTTGCATGGAGTAGGCTATGTTTCATATGTTGCCCACCCCCCGAGGAAGGGGGAGGCAGTAGGCAGACATGGTTTGGCTGAGGGGCTGGACTGTTGTGTTTGCAACTAGAGCTGGTGGGGGCTTGGAGCAATATCATTGTGTTATGGAAAATCTTGAGAAGTTTTGTTATATCTTCAGCAAAGCAAAAATGTAAAATCCCCTCCTCTTTATTTTTATAGAAAACACCATTTTATTAAAAGTAAAAAAATGAAGAGCAGAGATGGGTAAGTAGTCCAACCTAAATACAAATCATCGAAAAGCAGTACATAAAAAGGTAAAAAAAAAAACCAAACCAAGAAAACAAGCTAATCAATCACAAGCCACCTTCCATTTCACCAAGATTTCAAAAAGTGGAATATATGCAAATTCCTTTGAAACCAAAGCACAAAAAAGAGTTGCAAAAGAGTGAATTCGGTTCCAAACCCCATCAAACTCTTCATACTTATCTTCAAAGATTCTTGAATTTCTCCCCAACCAAATCACCCAAATTATTGCATAGAAAGCACATCCCCAAACAGTACTTCCTTTACTTCCCTTTCCAAAACCTTTATAATCCACAACCAACATTGTTGAAATTGTGAGAATCAAGAAAGAAAGAGGATGGAGATTACGATTGATCATAAGCATTTTAAAGTCAAGTTTGAAGGTTTGCATGGTGAACTTATTCGCATAACGGAATGGAATCGATTTGGATATTTCTCATGCTTAGTGAATAGAAGTTGTGTGAGATGGTTGAAGGAGATGTTTTCTAAAGCTTTATCCAGGAATCGACAAGATATTTTCTTTAGAAAGTTTAGGAGGGATGAATATTGTATGTGGATGGAATTGGAAAATAGCAGGTTTGGGGAGTTTGCCAGGATTACACAAATGATGAATAATGGTAAAAGAAAGGGTTTGATTATTCCCCAAGGCTCCCAAGGCATTGGATGGAAAGGGTTTAGAGGATTAATGGAGGATGCTCTTTCAGGTGGAAGGAATACTATGATACAAGAAGAAGAAAATCAAAGTTTGATGGTGGTATCAAAATGTAGAGTCAGAGAGCAAGGAAATGGGGCATGGGCTGAGATGCATAAGGAAAATACTCCTGCAAATGTTAAGGGGGATGAAAATATGCTTAAAGAAGAGGTTAAATGGAGGTGTGTTGTGGTATGTGTTAAAGGAAGTTCGTTTTTTCTACGAATGTTGAAGAAAACAAGAATGTTCAGTCGAAAGGAGAAAGGAATACTACAAGGCGAAGGTAGTACGGAGATTTTGTGCATTGGGTGAAAGGTTGAAGATGAGAGTTGTTGAAACTAGCATATTGGAAAATCAATCGGCCAAAAATGAGCTGCAAACAAAGGGGGATTACGTGTCAACAGGAGAAAGACAAGGCCACAATAAATGCAAAGATTTGGTTTGATTGAAAAAAATTCTGATGACTTGATCAGTGCCATTAATCTTGCTGATTTCTAACAGAAAATATTTGATAAGGATAATTCAAATATGGACCGTAATTTGAATTCAAAATCTGAGTTAATTAAGGATAAGGCAGAGGAGATGGATCACGAAGGGTTTTGTTAAGGAAGAAAGGTGGGCTGAGATAAAGAAACAAATGGGCTGGAAACAAATGTTTTTACTAATGGGCTTGGTAAGGTGGGCCGTTTTAATTTAAGAGGGTTTTACAGAATTGTAGAGGCCTGGTCCACAAACATTTGTTTGTTGGGGAGAGCTCGAATGATAGGGCTTTCTCACACAGGCAAAGGGGGGTCTCTCCATAGACGAAACAAAGGCTCTCCTCAAAGTCGAAAACTGATGGTTAAGGTCACTGAAGCTAATCGTCGAGCAAAGGGGGGATTGGAGCTTCTGATAGGATCTCCTTAGCCAAGGCAGAGTTGACAATGGGCAAAGGAAGTAGTGAAAAAGGGGCTATAGTTGGAGAGGAGATCTGCGATGGTTGGCAAAGCTAGTGGGAAGATTTTGAGGTCCGTTTCGACATTATGGATGGACAGAGACACATACATTTGATTTCAGAAGATGAAGAAGTTTGCTGCAAGAACTTCTAAAGATATAAATTAGCAAATAAGGAAGTAAAAAAGATAGTTCGATATGCTAAATTTAAAAGCTTACGATGAATTGTACAAAAAAACTAGATAGTAAAAAGGGAGAAAAAGACATTTATAAACTAGCTAAAATTAGAGAAAGGAAAACAAAAGACTTTAACCAAGTTAAGTGCATCAATGGTGAAGACTCAAAGGCGAAAGGCTATTTTAAGAAACTATAAAATAAAAATCACTTAGGAAACTTAGAAGAGATAGAAAATGGTAGGATTCATGAAACATTCTTTTGTAAGATAAAGAATTCGGAGGTAGAATTTGCATTGAAGAAAATGAAATTAGGCAAGGCTTTAGGACCGGATGAGATTCCAATTGAAGTTTGGAAGTGCTTAGGGAATGATGGGGTGTTGTGGCTAACGAAATTATTCAATAGAATTATTGGTACTAAAAAAATGCCTAATGAATGGAGAGAGTATTTTAGTACCTATCTATAAAAATAAAAGAGATATTCAAAATTGTAATAAATATAGAGGGATAAAATTGATAAGTCATACAATGAAACTATGAAAAATGGTCATTGAACGTCGCCTAAGAGTTGAGACTACAGTCTCAAAAAATCAGTTTGGGTTTATGCCTAATAGATCAATTACAGAAGCTATATATTTATTGAGAACACTCATAGAAAAATATAGAGAGAAGAAGAAAAATCTCCATATGGTATTTATAGATTTAGAAAAGGTGTATGATAAAGTATCTAGAAATATAATATGTAGGGTGCTTGAGAGAAAAAGAGTAATGAATAGATATATTGAGGTGATAAAGGATATGTATGACGGAGTTATAACTACAATTAGATCTTTCGTAAGAGAAAGTAAAGAATTTCCAATCACGGTGGGATTACACCAAGGATTGGCCCTAAGTCCATACCTACCTCACTAGGCCCATTCAAGATGATGTCCCACGACATATAGTATTTACAGATGATATTGTATTAGTAGATGAAACTCGAAGGGGGATTAACAATAAGCTAAAAATTTGGAGAGAGATATTCGAGTCTAAAGGGTTTAAAATAAGTATGAGTAAAACTGAATATATGCAATGCAATTTTAATAATAGAAGAAGTAGACATAGTGAAAAAGTTAAGATTGAAAATCAAGAAATACCAATGAATAAACGATTTAAATATTCTAGGATTGATCATTAAAAATGATGAAGAGATTGGAGATGATGTTGTATGGGAGAAAAACCTCAGGCATATTAGGTGATAGAAAGATACCAATAAAATTGAAAGATAAGTTTTATCGAACAACTATAAGGATAGCAATGTTGTATGGGACAAAATATTGGGTTACTGGGAAACAACATAGTGACAAAATGAGTAGCGAAAATGAGAATGTTATGGTAGATGTGTGAAAAAACTAGAAAGCATCGAAATAATCCTATTAGATAAATGGTAGGAGTAGCTCAGGCACTGGTTCGAAAAAGTTATAGAATTTCTCTTAATAGTACTAAAAGTAAGGGTAAACCTAAATTAACATTGAAAAAAATAATAAAAAAATATTTAACTTAAATGAGTGTATAGCACATGATCGAAATGAATGGTGAAGACAGACTCATATAGCCGACCTAAAATGATTGGGACATAAGTCTTGGTTTGGTTACAAAGATTGCAGCGATGCTATGCTTGCTGCGAGAGAGTGGTATGACAATGCTGAGTTGGAGAAGAGTTTGGAGGATTCATTATATTTATGTGATATTGATAACGAGAGAAAGATACAGACTGATGAGGTATATGGTGATATTGTGAGAATGTTTACCGATGATAAGTTGATATCTGTTCAAGAAGAAGGTAATATGATACTCCATCACGAATCTAAGGTAATTTGCAATGCTTTTCCTTGTACTTTAGAAGGTAATATTTCCCAAAAAATCCCACTGATGGTTTCTCCTAGGGATGTTCTTTTTTTTGGGGACAGGCGTGTCAATGTCGGTGTTCATTCTGGTGATTTTAATTTTTCAAGGGTGGGAGTGTCAATATCCGTATTGGTTCTGGGTCTGATTGTGTTGCTGGAATGACATGGAATTGAGTGAGAAAATGGCGATGTTATCTTCAATGAAGTATGGGTATAGGAAAGAATAGGTTTCCACAAACTGTGATGTAGCTAATTCAGGTCCATGGGGAGAATAGACATTTGCGGTGTTTGGGTGAACCTGGTTTATTAGGTGTTCCATTTATTACTACCTGTGATCCAATATATTCAAAATTGATGATAGATATCCCATAATTAATGTTGGTCCAATGAACTCCTCTGATGTAGTGACAACTAGAGCTATAGTGAGCTTTGAGGGTGAAAGGAGTACAGAGGGAATAGAGGAAAGAGATAGGGATAATAATGAATGTGTATTGTCGGATGACGGAATAGGTGTTGTTTTAAAGAATTTTTTATATAAAATGGATTTGTCTCTAGTTCCATCAAAAAAAAAGGGGGGGGAGCAAAAAAAATAATGTACTAAGCTTTGGGGGTGAACTCTGATGCCGTGACAACTGGGGGAAATAGTGAGCTTTAAGGGTGAAAGGAATAAAGAGGGAATAGATGACAGATGTAGGGATAATATAATGAATGCGTTTTGTCGGACGAGCAAAAATGGGTTGTGTTAAAGAATTTTTTATATATAAAATGGATTTTTCTCTTGTTCCATCAAAAAAACAAGGGAAGCAAAAAAATGAATGCAGAAATGAGAGGAAGAGAAAGGGAGTAGGAGAGTTAAAGAATTTAGAGTTAGGGATAAATTATGAGGGTGATAGTTGTAAGAAAGGTGGGGGAGGGATCTATATAGTTTCTTATAAAGAGTGTTAAGTTGGAATGCCAGAGGATTAGGGTCATGTGCGAAAAGGTTTACAATAGAGGAGTTTTTGGGAAGAATTGGGACAGATATAGTTACTTTACAAGAAACAAAGTTGGAGGTCATTGATAAGAGTCTTTAGTAGTGTTTGAGGTCTAGGTTCTAGAACTGGGTTTTTCTATTTTTTGTAGGAGTACACGTGGTATTGTCATCATTCGGGACAAGAGATCTATAAGCATGGAAGAAACTCTTGAGTGGGAATTTACTGTTTCAATTAGAGTTAAGCAGAGAGGGCTATGGCTGGTGGTTTACAGGGATTTATGGGCCTAACAAGCCTAGGATTAGGGTCTCATTGTGGGAAAAATTAGTAGGGCTATATGGGGTGTGTGGTCATAGATGTTGTATAGGGGGATATTTTAATGCTACAAGGTATCCAAGGGAGAGGATGAATGGGGGGGAGAACAACAAAAAGTATTGAAAAATTTTGATTCTTTTATTAGGGAAACCAAGCTTAGGGATGCTACTTCTTGCTCCAGCATGAAAGTTCCATTTTCAAGGACAACGTCCTATGATACTTTCTGTTTTGTCGAACCCTGCTTTGGTCTCTGGTTTGACAGTTGTATGTGCCAAAAATCCGATACATTCCGTTTTGCTTCCTATCCCAGTCTTTTGCAACACTTCATGTTTACTTCTTTTATTAGGTCCCCCTTTAGCAAATGAAGTGTTTACATGATCTAATGGTAGGACAGTTAAGCTGTGTAAAAAGTTGGATAGATTTTTGTAGTCTATAGGATGGGAAGATTGTTTTCGTGGGATGAGACAGAAGGCATTGTAGTTTAAATGGGGTCCTTGATTGTTTAGGTATGAGAATATGTGAGTGGAACATAGAGAGTTGAAGGAAAGAATAAAATAATGGTGGGGAAAGGAAAGGGTACTGGGGTGACAAGAATTTTGATTTATGAACAAACTTGAGATAATAAAACATAGATTGAGAGAGTGGAATAAAGAGGTATGTTGGGACATTCGAGAAGCAAAAAGAATTATTTTGGATAGGATTGATGAGGCGAATAAGGTTGAAGGAGGAGGGGATTTCGAAGAAGCGTTAAAAAGAGAGGAGAGAGCTTAGTGGGTAAAAGAAAGAGACAATACTAAATTTTTTCATAAGGCGGCGAATGGAAACAAAATGAGGAATAGAGCCTAACAATGGATTGATAATTGAGGATGATGGTAGTATTGAGAGGGAAATTATTAGGTTTTTTGAGAAGCTATATTCGGATCAGGTCAAGAGGGTGCTAGATTTAAGTTAAGGGGTCCTAAATGGAGTCTTATAGATGAAAGGGTTGCAGAGTGGATGGAAATGCCTGTTCAGATAGAGAACATGAGGAGAGCTATTTTTGGCTGTAGTAGAAAAAAGGCACCAAATCCGGATGGATTCACCATGGCAATATATTAGGTTTGTTGAGATGAAATAAAGGAAGATTTGATGAGGGTGTCTGAGGAGTTTTTCAAAAAGGGGGTGATTAATAAAGTTTCCCCTATTCAACAAGATTCTACAGACTATCTTTCCCCTATTCAATAGGATTATGGTATATGAGTTCTTTAAGTCAGTTGTAAGAGAATAAAGAAAGAACAATACATTTCTCTACTTTGTCTCACTATTGATGGGAATCTCTTTAAGCAGACCTTGGTTTGTATGAATATCTTATTTAATGACAAATAATGGTAACTGAAGTTCGCCGCAGTGTCATGCTTGTGTGCTGGGAAATTAGAATATAAAATTCAATTTATTCATGGTTTTTGAGTTCCTGAACAACCAAAATATGATCGGAAAATGGTAATGGTTCCCAAAGTAGATTGCTTAACAAGTTATTAACTTGAAGTTTAGCCTCATTTATTGCCTGTCAGATTAATAGCTTATGGAATCTGCCAACCTCTTGTTTAATTGTTGTTTGAATTAGTAGCATGGCAGTTGTTGGGTGTATAGCTTGAGTACATGGCTTTCAAGGTCAGTGGTAATGTATTTTCGATTATCTTGGATGTTTGTGGCAAACTAGTTTGGGTACTATGCAATTCTTTTCACTCGGACTAGCAGGTGTGCAAAATGCCTGTTTCATCGACATTGACAAAGAAATAAGTGATTAGGATGATTCTGTGGCCTTAAAAAACTAAGTCCCCTTACTCCCATCAACCCCACAACCAAAAAGGAATAAAAAACAATCTTGATATAATTTTTATATGTACAAGCTTGTTAACTCACTTTAGACACTTTGCATGTATGCAAATTCCCACTATCACTTTAGACTATTTGCATTTATGAGTCTTTGTAGCAGTTGTTTATTATTCTTATTACAGAAAATTTAGACTTTCAATCTTCCTTGGATTTCTTGCCCTAGAAATTCATATACTCTTGTTTCATCTTTGATTATAATGTTTTTTCTTGTTATCTTATTGTTGGAAATACATCAAAAGGTGTTGATTCTCACTTCAAAATGCAAATGACAGTAGATCTGAGAATTTTGTTGCATCAAAATCACAAACAAGAGAAAATCACAGCAACTGGTCGTGATTGATTGTGTGTGCGTGTCTGTGTGGGTGGGTGGGTGAGTGAGTGTGTGAGCCAGCCAGTGAGTGATAGAGAGACCAAGCTTTACCTGCTTGCTAAGACCGAGCTTTGCCTGCTTGCCTGGACCGAGTGGGTGGGGGAATTATGGCAAGGTCCCAGCTGAAAATTTGAAATAATAAATGTGAATTGGGTTAGCCCAATAACAAAATGCATCTCACCAACGAGTCCAATTATTTGGTTTGGTAAAATTGCTATTCAGATTGGGATCTAAAAGATCAGGATCACCATCCTATAAATTAGCATGAGACATGGATCAATTTGCAATTGTATGAGCTTAAGATCCTAATTTTTATAACTATATTCCTATTCTAACAAAATAATCTATACTAATAATAATAATAATAAACACTATTATATGATATATTAAATATTGACGTAACAATAAGGTTGTTTCATTGTGACCTGGATCACAGGTTTGAGTCGCACAAATAGTATATTTGCTTACAAAATTTAGACCGAATACATCTAACCCTCTTCAAACCATGCAATGGCGAGAACCTCATGCACTGGATACACCATCTATAAGATATACAAAATCTTGTTCTGCATCATTTTCCTTTCACTTCAGAAAAACTTAAACTCGTCTCAACATTTCTATTGCTTAAAACAACTTTGAAAGTCTACATTTGTTTGCAGCAGTTTTACACTCTTCAAACACTAACTTATTGCCGCTACTTTCAATCTTCTGTGTGTCATCTAAATTCATAGTTATACAAGGGAATACTTTCGCAGTAAAAGCATGATCTATATTGAAACTAGCACCATCTTCCTTCAGGTTCTTCAATGTCCAATTGCTTAGAACAAAAAATATGTTGAGGAAGGTCTGGCCCAGCTATTGCAACATTATCATCATCTAAGATATTGCCACTAGACTTGTTTTTGGGTCAATAACTAATACGAGAGCTTGAACTTGATATCAGTCCCGGTCAAAGTCTACATCAACGCCGGTGTCATTGCAATTAGACTCTTCTTAATAGTAAGTCCCAGTCCAAAGTCTTTAGCTACATTGCCTTACTTTGAATTCATTGGGGTGAAGTGGTGCAAGATGCCACCAAGACACGTCCATTTCTGCGCCCAAGTCAATTGGAGTTTGAAAACTAGTATAGTATCCGTTTTTCATAACTAGTAAATTTAAAGATCATCTACAATAAGATAATT